AGCCTCACCTCAGTGAGGCATGGTAGGAGAATCTGAATTCTTTCTATACCATTCACTAGGTCTTAAATGGGGACATCCCTTACAAAGAAAGGTAGAAATATCATAGGCAACTAAAATCAATGAAAGGGATAATCCATAGGAAAATGATTTTGTTTTTTAGTAATTGAAGTTTTAATGTAATTACTGATAAACACATTTTGCATTTCATATCTCTTGACCTGTCTGCATGGCCTCTTACTGGGATGCACTGAAATAGGAGATGTAATAACAAGTTCTTACTTGCTATCTACAAGTAGAGTTGTCACTCAGCATGGTTCCCCTTTTACAGAGAGTCCACATATCCTGCCTTCATAAAACAATCAATATCAATGTCAACTGGCATAACATAGTTCATAAAGAAGAAAATGTTCTAGATCCTACTTTGGTGAGTAGCGTCTGGGATCATAAAAGCTTGGGAGCAGCCATCTAGGATACATCTATGTGTCTCATCCCATCTGTAGCAAAGACGAATGAAGAAAACCAAAGACATAAGGAAACACTTAGTCCAAAGGATTAATGGACCACAGGAACCACAGCCTCCACCAGCCTGAGCCCAGAAGAACTAGATGGTGACTGGCTAACACTACCAACTGCTGTGACAGGGATCTCAACAGAGGGTTCCAGATAGAACAGGAGAAAAATGTAAAACAAAATTCAAATTTACAAAGAAAGACCAGACTTACTGGTCTGACAAAGAGTGGAGGAGCCCCCTGAGATTATGGCCCCCACACATCCTTCTAACTCAAAACTTACAAAATTGAAACAATGCATAAATAGTTACAATATTCAGCCCTGTGACACTGTTTTAGCTCCGCAATGAAGTCATTTCCGAGGTTCACCCTTCAGCCAAAGATTAGACAGGCCCATAAAACAAAACGAGACTAATGGGGCACAAAAGCCCAGGGACAAGGACTAGAAGGCAGGAGGGGACAGAAAAGCTGGTAATAGGGAACTCAAGGTTGAGAAGGGAGAGTGTTGACATGTCATGAGGTTGTTAACTAATGTCATAAAACAATATGTGTACTAACTATATAATGAGAAACTATTTGTTCTGTAAACCTTCACCTAAAGCACAATAAAAAAAAAAAATAGTTACAATATTCAAGAGTGAAGCCATTCCTGAAGTTTACCTTTCAGCCAAATATTAGACAGGCCTATAAAACAAACAATAATACCCATGAGGAACGTACTCCTTAGATCAAGTATACGAGACCAAATGGGCAACGCCTGCCCAAAAGCAAAGACAAAAAGGCAGGAAGGGACAGGAAAACCAGATAAATGGAAACAGGGAACACTGGGTAGAAAGGGGGAGCATACTGACACATTGCAATCAGTGTCATGAAATTATTTGTCTATAACTTTTTGAATGAGAAACTAATTTGTTCTATAAACTTTCACCAAAAGTACAATAAAATATTTTAAAAAAGAGACGATCAAACACTAATTTCAAAAATAACCTAGATATACCAACTTCATCTCAAAACTGAGACTTCCCATATTGATAATTCTATAGAAATAATATAAGTAAAGTCAATAGTATAGACATACCAAAAAAGTATGCCTAAACACTACAGAAATTAAAGAAACAAAAGAATTTTCCAAAGGCATGTGAAAATAGATTGCTGTAGATCTGGGAATCTAAATGTAGTAAATTGAATTATTGCCTCCAGTTATTTACCCCTCCTTGTGTCCATGCCTTTTACCATGTAACTTTGCAGTTTCTCAGGAAAAGGGTTATGAGTATTTCCCCACCCCTTTGGATTTGGCCTAAAACTTGCTTTGGCCAATGAAATGTGGGCAGAAGTTGTGCAAGTTCTGCAGCAAAATCTTAAGTGTCATTCTGGTTTTTGTCTTCTTGCTCTTCTGCTACTGATATGAGAACATGCGAGACACATGGAGAAGAACTGAGCCCAACTCACAGTGAGCAGCCAAGCCCAGACATGCAACTAGAGTCAAAGCCACCCAGCTGAGTCCAGCCTAGATCAGCCACACCCCCAGGTGATCCACATGTGTGGAATAAATAAATGCTTACCTTTGAATGAGATTTTGTAGTTATTTGTTACACAGCACTATTGTGACAACAGCTAACAGATATACTTATTAAATTAAAGTGGGCAAAAAAAAGCGTATTCTTCCCTCTTCTGGAATCTGAAAAATGTTTTCCTCTTCCTGAGATCATTTCTCCAGTCATCTACCATAAGAGTCAAAAAATTCACATCTGATTGATTGGGAGAGTGTTAAATCCAATGAGTTCATTCCAGGTTAATCACCAATTTACATTTTTCCTTCCTACCATGCTAACAACTGTACTGATTTTCAAACACCGTTTCCTCTGATGCGCTGGGGATATAACAATGACTATATGACCTCATCTATAAACTTGTGGAGTTGAATTAGATCAGTGGTTCTTGAATTGTTCTTTAGAGGCCATGGTTTCAAGGAGGTGTCTGGAGGGCCATTGCATGGTAGGGGCAGAGGAAGAAAGCTCAACAGTTGGAGTGCCAGCCTATCAATCAGCAAAATTCTACTTTGATCTGTTTTAGATATGGAGATTTCATTTGGATGACTTGTTGCACTGTTGAAAAAGTAAAGCTAAGAACTAATTGACAAAATGCTTTTTAAAGTCTTCTCAGACTGGAAACGCTAAGATTACATTTTTTATTTTTTTAATTCTACAGCCCCTTTCTCTTTCTCTTTATTACCATGACCCTAATTCAAGACATCATCACCTAAACTCCTGTGATAACTTCTTAACCTGACTTCCTGCTTCAAACTGTAAATAGTATCATTTCACCACCCTGCTTAAAACCATCTAGAGTAAAACTCAACTTAGTGGGGTTTCCTTTCTCTTTCAGTCTCATTTCCTGCCCTTCTTCCCCTCCCTTCATACTGGCACAAAACACACCTAGCTTTTTCCCACCTCAAGGCTTACTCACATGCTATTCCCTCTGCTTAGAATGCTTTTCCCCTATTCTTCAAATGCCAACTTCTTTTTATACTTCAATTCCTACCTTATAAATCAGCCTCTCAGAGAGAATTTCCCTAACTGCCCAAGCAAAAGCAAATCCTTGCTATCCCCCATTATTCGATATGACAACATACTGTTTCCCCTTCTTTGCATTTATCATGATTTACAGTTATAGAAACACTTGTTACTTGTTTGCATTATCTGACTTTCCATTGACTCTAAGCTGTATGAGGCCAGAGGCCATGTTGTCTGATTTATTTTTGTATTCCCAGGACACAAAGTGGTATCTGGCACATAGTATATGCTCACCAATATAAATGAATGAATCATCCTCTTAGCGTTTATCAATATAATTTTCTTCCACCACTTTCCTGTACCATATGGCATTTTTCTGTACTACTATGCTTATACCAGCTCTCTCCGTTATCTTCCTTAATCCACTTATAATGTTCCTTAATTTAAACTCCTGCCTACCAGAATTTCATCATGCTTCATTGATCATACTTCCTTCTTCCTATTATTTTTGCATGTCAATGGTTATGATTCTGGTGTGTTAGAGGAATTTATTATCAAGCTGGCACCAAATCTTAGAATGACATTAACAATAGCAGTTAGTCAATAAATGAAATTATATACTTTTAGAAGTAAATGCTCCATGCTATTCAAGTGAGAATACTGAGGAGTTTAGGAAATACCCAAATTCCAAGCAAGGTTATCAGGAAATAGTTTCAGGAAAACAATGGCCAAAGTTATATCCTAGCTAATTTCATTGTCCTCTGTCCAAAGAGTAAACCCTGGTGGCATAGAGGTCAAGAGCTACAGCTGCTAATCAAAAGGTTGGCAGTTTGAATCCACCAGGTGCTCCTTGGAAACCCTACGGGGCAGTTCTACTCTGTCCTATAGGGTCACTATGAGTTGGAATTGACACGACGGCAATGGGTTTATGGGTTCTGTCCAAAGAAAAGAGAAAATGTTGTATATGACTTGTGTGTTGTTACTGGATGCAGTCAAGTCAATTCCAATTCACAGTGGCCCCATGTGACAGAGTAGAACTGCCCCATAGTGTTTTCATGGCTTTAATCTTTATGGAAGCAGATTGCCAGGTCTTTATCCCACAGAGGCTCTGGGTGAGTTCAAACTGCCAACCTTTCAGTTAGCAGCAAGAGCTTAACCATTGTGTCAGCCAGGGCTCCCTATGGCTTGTGTATAGTTTATAAAACAGGGACACAAAGGATAAGAATGTGGAGTGTTTTTCTAGCAATATCCAGAGGGGAGGGACAACAGATCCGAGCGATGGTAATAATACAATCCCTAGAGAAGTAAGTCTGTGTGGGTAATGGGATTGGCATAAGCTCTCTTGGATGAGCCATCCAAGAGGGTGCTCTGAGAGTAGGCATGAGGCTCAGGCCACTGGAAAGTAGAACTCTTCCCTGGAAATGAAAAAGTTGGCCTTTTTCCTGAGTTTGTTTGGTATGAATCAACTTACAAAAATTCATTCCATCCTGTGTTTATTGAAAACATTTAGTTTCCTGATCTGCAAAGCCAGGATCCATACCCTAACCCATAGTTCTGAAGGCAAATGCCCTTGGCTTGAGCAGCCAGTGGCCTTCCTTGAACACTATCTCTGTCTGGCCTGGCTTTCTCATTGTCATACTAACTGTACTATACTATCACAATAGTTGCCATATTTGTTGTTACCCATCTATTGATAATTACATAATGTACTTTTGTGAGTACACGATTACACCAAGTGCAATTAGGAAACAGAAGCATTTTTTGTCACTGAGGTAACCAGACATTCATTAGAGCTGAGGCACAACTCCATAGCCTCAGCATTCATTCCTGTGAGTGTAGACCAAGGGTTCCTCTTTTATCCAAAATGAGTGGCCGTGACTTGACAAGTTGTTTGGGGATCAGCAGGTCCCTGCAGCAATCACCATATGTTACAATTAATAAAGGAAGGTGTTAAAGAGAGTAACCAAAATGTTCAAACCTGGGACTGATATCCTCCCCACAGTCGGATGCTCCATCTCCATAACAAGGCCATTGTGTAGTACCTTAAAATGTAAAAACAGAGAGAAAAATACTTTACAAAATGAAAGTATCTTTAATCTCAAAGTATATGGAAAACTGCCTATTCAATTCATGCTGAAGAAAGATATTGCAAAACACACAGATGTTTAAAATTGTTGTTTCAATGTAAATATTTAAGATAAAAATAATGTCCTATCTTATATCATACCAAGTGAAGCCAAAGGATACCAGAAGACTCAAGGACTAGCAAATTATATTTCTATAAATCTTCCCACATAAAAATACTATTTTTTTTCTCAATACAGGGGATGATTCCCCCATCTCATCTGTGTATGCACCTCTAAATATTAAAACTCAGCCTCTTTATGAAAGCTATTTATAAAGTAGAAACTCAGAAAAATTATATTTTATGCTTTAGTGGGTACTGCAGCCTTCCTGGAATAGAAGAGTTTTTATAGAAAAACATTGGTAAAGGTTGTATAGGTCTTAAATATCAGTCAGATAGGAATCCTATAATGTCAATTTATATATTATCATTAATGAACATTGTCTTAGTTATCTAGTGCCGCTATAAAAGAAATACCACAAGGCGTTGGCTTTAACAAACAAAAACATATTCTCTCACAATCTAGGAGGCTAGAAGTTCAAATTCAGGGTGCCAGCTCTAGGGAAAGCCTTCCTTTCTCTGTTGGCTCTGGGGGAAGGTCCTTGTCATCGATCTTCCCCTGGTCTAGGAGCTTCTCAGCGCAGGTACCCTAGGTCCCAAAGGATGTAATCTGCTCCTGGTGCTTCTTTCTTTATGGTATGAGGTCATTCTCTCTACTTACTTCTCTCTCCTTTTATCTCTTGTAAGATAAAAGGTGATACAGGCCATTCCCCAGGGAAACTCTCCTTCCATGGGATCAAGGCTGTGACCTGAGTATAGGGTGTTTCATCCCACCCTAATCCTCTTTAACATAACCTAATCTTGCCTCATTAACATAACTGCCTCTAACCCTGCCTTATTAACATCATAGAGGTTAGGATTTACAACACATAGGATAATCACATCAGATCACAAAATGGTGGACAACCAGACAATACTGGGAATCATAGCCTAGCCAAGTTGACACACATTTTGGGGGGACACAATTCAATTCATAACAAACATCAGAGTAATAAACTTAAAAACAAAAACAAAAACAAAAACAAACCTACAGCCTCTTCCTGTGTTACCTCCCGGCAGGCCATGGAAATGAAAAGTCAAGTGTAGAAGGACAGGGTGGGAGGCACCAGGGCCTGGACCAGGAGCCCAGAAGGGTGGCACATGTGCTCCTGACAAGTTATTCAGTGGAAGACATGGCAAGTCAGTCAAATTCAACAGGTGATCAGAGGTGATCAGAGAATCCAGAAAGCCAGTGAATACTGGGAAGTAGACAGAGTCCAGGCTGTGTGATAGGCACATGAGCTTAGCCAGCTACCAGGGAACCCAGAGTAGGCCCAGTAAGAGTCCTGAGCAGATGGTTGACACCAAGAATGCTTTCAAAAGGCAGTAAAACCATAAAATCTTACAGGGCTAGGTTTCAGAACTAGGACTACACAATCATGGAGTCTGTCAGTTTGTCATACTAGGCTGGTTTGCTGTGATGCTAGAAGATGTGCCACTGATATTTCAAATACTAACAGGGTCACCTATGATGACCAAGTTTCAGCAGAGCTTCCAGACTAAGACAGACTAGGAAGGCCTGGTGATCTACTTCCAAAAATCAGCCAGTGTAAACCTTATGGATCACAACAGAACATTTTCCAATATAATGCTGGAAGATGAGCCCCTAGTTTGGAAGGCACACAAAATACACAGCGGCTACAACAATGGACTTGAGCATACCAATGAAGATGGCACAGGAACAGGCAATATTTTGTTCTGTTGTACAGAGAGGTCACCATAAGTCACAGTCAACTCAACAGCAACTAACAACAACCATATCATGGAGTAGGCGGAGAAGACATCTAAGAAAAAATTGAAGACCTCATCGTAAAGGGCTAAGGAGGTTCTCCTGCAATAAGTAGGTCCAAGATTGGTATCCAGTGTCCCAGTGTAGAGACCTTGGTCTCAAGGTTAAGACCCAAAGCCAATTACTAGTAAAGGGACATTCTATCAGCATCTGGCCAGCACAAATTTGACTTGATGCTGAATCACTTGACTGATAAATCCCTGGCAAACGGAGGCTAGAATGTTTCCCATAGGGTGGGCAGGAAAACAAAGTCTACCAGATATCATGTGCCCTCCAACTGTAGTTAGAAGCTGAGGTGAGGGCAGAACCAGGTTAGAATCAGGTTCTGGAACATAAAAGTTGAATTACTAGGGGCAAAGTGTTCTATGATACACAAATGAAAATGCTACATTTTTGTTTTTATTTTTGCTTACAACTGGGGGTCATCTGGGTATACTGTCTCAAAGAACTCAACATCTACTTCTGGATTTATGGTGAGATAAATATGGGCAACTCAGATAAATTGAGTTTCACCTGCACTATCTACCAAATGGAGCCCTGGTGGCACAGCGGTTAAGAGCTTGGCTGCTAACCAAAAAGTTGGCAGTTTGAATCCACCAGCCACTTCTTGTAAACCCTGTGGAGCAGTTCTACTTGGTCCTATCGGGTTGCTATGAGTCAGAATCGACTCGACGGCAACAGTTCTTTGGCTTGGATCTACCAAATGGAGAGCTTCCCTCTTCTTGTCCTGCAAATATATCTAAAGGATAGAAGTATTTCAGTGGCAGAATAATCTTATAGACACAAATTCATGCCAACATCCCAAAGAGTGGCGTTGTAATGATTTTACAGCATTTTGAACTTCTGGTAAAAGCTAGATTTGCATATCCAAATTCTTATTATAATCTATTCACAAAGCAAAGGGGCATGGAATAAAGAGACCAGTAAAAATGCTTTTTCACTTGGAGTGAATACGCTTCACTTCTATAAGGGAAAGAATCAAATTTCCTGTGTTTACCCATTTCCAGTGAGTGCTTTGGTCACATTATGGAGTAAACCATCAATAAGACAACCTCATGGGTGAATTTTTGAGGTCAGAACTATAGCTCTGCTATAGTTAAATACTCTGGCTTCCACTCTTTGGGAAGAGTTACCACTTTAAACTTCTTTAAACAAGCATGCTAACCTCCCTCATTGAGGCAATGTCACACAGTATGGAGACCCTTTCTAGGGACACCTTGTCTCTCTGTTGGGATCACAGACTTTGTAGCCCAGAGCTGGCCAGAGAAAATCCTTGCCAGTGTTGGAACTGTGCTATAATTCAACTCTGGTGTGGCTCGTTCTCAGAACCCACCCAGCACAGCCTCCTCCAGTGTGGGGGTGGGGGCTAAGTGCCAACGGGAGGTGCTAAATCTCAGCTCTACTAAGGACAGGAACAAAAATACTGAGCTAAATTTCACTCGAAACAATTATCTGCACACTGAATCATTCTTCTCGTATCTCTATTGCCCTCCTGACTACCTCTCTGTAATAACCCTGCAGTGCTACTCACAAAAGACAAAAGTGAGTGTTCTTAGCTAAATATAACTGAGCTGATGGTGTTGGAATTCATTAACGCTGAATTTTAACCGTGTAGCAAACGTTAAGTGTCAAACGTGAAAGGGTAGTTGGTAAAGGTCAAGGGACATATGTCAAAGTTTTGTGAAGAGAAGCTAACAGTTGATTGAAATTTTTCATGGAAGCAGTTTGGAGAGTATACTTCCTTCACCCTTACCTCCATTGCTGTCTGCATATAATATTCCCAATATGAAAACTCTCTTACCTACTCTTTTTCAATTCCCTTGCATTGAAAATAGTTCAGCACTCAGCAGAAACATAGTCTTCTTATGCGTGGCAGAGGAAGTGAACTGCAGTTTCTCATTTTCTGTAGCGTTCATACAATCATGAGGCGAATGGGCTGGTCTGAGCTCTGATCTTCAGAAAGAACTGATTTACTCCCCTGTTTGGTTGCCACCCACCCTTTTATGTGAAGGCTGAAGTGAAGATAATTCCATAGGCTTTCTCCGTGAATCAGGTCAGATTATCCCACAGAACAATCAGGGCTGTGGAAGTGCTGTCCCTAGAAACCCTGCCTAATGACTTGGAATCTTGGAAAATTCTGCAGCCCTCATTATGGGGCAAGTCCTGCTCTGCTTAGTAACATATTCGAGGACCTCAGAACCCAGGATGTCTGTCTGAATTCTGACATAAATCTCTCTGGCTGCCTTCCTTTCAGGCATATTGTCTCACCCTCACTTCAGTGGTAATGGAGGAACTACCACTTACCACCATTTGTATAACATCTCAGGAATGGTTACAAAATGTTCCCTTTCCCTTTTCTCATTCTCCTTGAGTCTCAACACCTCAATCTCTATAAGCTTAACACAGAAATTCAGAATAACCTGTGTCATTTTTTGACCATTCACAGTGGACAGGGGACCTGATCTTCAGGGACCTTCAACTATTTTCCCTCAAGGGAGATTTCATGCCTTGAACCTCAGTTTTGGCATCCAGGGTATTCTTTGTTGAATACTGAGCTACTTTAAAATAGGGCAAAAGACCTTGCATAGAATTTTATGATGGTTTTTCTCCATTTGGTTATGTCTTTGGGTTTTACTGTTTTTTTTTCCCTCTTTTACTCCTTCAGTCTTTTATGGTTTGGTAACTCTTCTAAATTTCATTTCCTCTCCTTGAAATTTCAAAAGCACATTCTTGACAAGAATAGTACTGTAGACAGTGTACCAACCTCTCTAGCAAAGAATCAGGCCTATTTAAAATAAGGTCTCTCTTTCTTCCTCAAGAGTTTTACAGATTGACAGCCTAATGGCAGAGTCAAATGGTAATGCATTAATGATGGGGGGAAAAGAATAAAATGTATACCTTAAAGTGACGTGGGAAATAAGTTTAAGTGAAAGCAAGAGAGTCTTTTTAAAAAGTCCTATGGCAGAAATGGCAGAAGAAAAAGCCTATAATATAGCACTAACAAGACCAAAAAAAAGTGCTAAAAATGA